AGTTGTGGAGCATGCTACCTTGGTTGCACAACAGGTCGAGCGTCATATGCTGCGAAAGAAAAAAGCATCCGAAACTGTGCTTAAGGAGAAGCGACGCAAGCTCGTCCTCAATCTCAAGGACCATCTCGTTCAAGCACACACTGGTGTGTTAGAGGGGGAGGTTCTCACTGCATGGCTTAAGGAATTACAAAAGGAGTTTGTGAATCGTATGACTGCTCTGGAAGCTGAATCTGCAAACGCAGGTCAAGAGAGTGAGGACGAAGAGATGATAGACAGGAGCGAGCTGAGTGAAGAAGAGCGACCTAGCACGTCCGCCAGTCCGTCGGTCATATCAATTGACTCGCATACTAGCTCCACGGATTCTGATTCTACCATTCGGGCAATGTCAGAAGCATCTACTCTCAGAGCAGTCTCCAGTAACGAGCGCTAGCAATAACGACCATATGCTCCTATGGCTGCTAGTAGCATGGGAAAGGGCTGATATACGTGTAGGCAAGAGATTGCCGTATAAAGGCCTTCAAAGCCCAGTATGATCAAAATCAGACCTCAATAGGATAGTGACTGCTGATATACATCTGTACATAACCAGAGTTACTCGTGAAAAGACCCCAAGTTCAAACGCGAAGCCCACAAGACTAGCATCAGGGTCATAAAAGTTGATCCGGTGTCGATCTTGCCGAACTTGTGTCTGGCCCACTTAGCGCGTGAAGCATCGGATTCCAGGGTCATGATTGGAGGCGCTGCAAAGTGCGGGGGTCCTTATCGCTCCTTCTCCGATTAAATCCCTACTTCGGACGGAACAACTCCAGGGCTGCTGTCGGACCTTGCAACCTTATATAAGCGATCGTATACAGACTCTCATCGCGGCAGCCGTCCTGTCGCTCGTTAGAGCGCGCTAGGTGAACGCATGCAGTGCAACCAACCCAACACCTTAGTACCCGGCACCCCGGTGCACTGCTGCTCGTCGCCCAAAGGCTACCCCAGCCTGCCGAGTCGGCCCCGTATGGCATGGTCTTAGCGTGGCGTTCATCAGCCGCGCGAGCATCAGCTTCAGTCATCATTCGCACTATCTTTGCTTTCCCTGTCAATCTAAAGCGCCATGCCTCGACCAAAGAAACCCGGGGTAGAACCTAAAAGAAGATCGCGAAATGGCTGCTGGTATTGTCCTAGATCAATGGAGTCTGCTCATACTTACTCACCAAACACAGGCCATGTAAAGCTCGAAAGGTCAAATGGTAAAGCAGTTCTAATCGTGGTCTCATCAAAGAGTACTAATAGCATCTCGCAGTGGAGAAGAGAAGCCAAGCTGTACCAACTGCGAGCGCCAAGGGGAAACATGCGACTACAGCATAAGACTCAACTGGGGAGGCCGTTCAAAGAAAGATAAGACAAGTACAGCCTCTGATGCTTCGAGTGCAGCGTCTGGCAGTCCGTACCAGTCCTCCTTCCCGTTTGAAGAGAACGTTTTCTCGTCTGCCCCCGAACACCCCGTGCAATCACAACATGCACGATCAACATCAAGAACATCCCCACCTAGATCTACGCATTCCATTGATCCAGCTTTGATGCAAAAGCCGCATGATGCCATCCGTACTGAAGCGTCGGGTGCGGACATCTACCTTCAAAACCAAACGTTCACGTCCGTTCCCTACAATCATACACAGTATCAAAGTACTGTTGACGCTCGGTCGCATGTCGCGTATGATTCGGGTGCTCCCAACTCCCGTAACGCTGGGCTCACATATGCCAATCCTACGATGCCGCCGCCACTACCGGGTTCAGTGGATTCGATGGCCAAACGCCAGCAGTATGGCTTCTCTACAGACTCGAACACACCAACGTTCCCAGATACAAATTCGCCAAACACACTTTCACCAACGCCATACAGCCCATACTCGGCTATGCCGCTAACACCGATGTCAATTGGCTCTGAAGGAAACATTATGCAAACGTCGTCAACACCGCAAAATTCAGCACAATCACCGCCGGATCTCCGTCGTGTGTCTGTCCAGTCTCTCATCAATGATCTTCCAAGAAAGCGATCACGGCCGGCCGGTGATGAGGTCGGACGTGGCCGACAATATCCTATTGCTGATTCTGCTTTCACCACCTACGGATACGACTTGGGTCTCCCTGATATCGATTCTCCGAGGAATGACGACTTTTCTGCTATTGCCATCTTCAGCCCACAAAGCAACACCATGGGGTTTAACGAGGACATATCGTATGGTAGCACTGACCCCCACGGCAAAGACATGGCCTTCGAAAGCGGGGGTTATTATGCAAAACCAGTTCCGATCAGGATTTCGAAGTCTTTAGAACCACTGCCTTCACTGCTCGTAGAGAACCAGATGAATCTCCTGTACTTCCATCACTTCATCAATCACACAGCGCGGGTTCTTGTCAACCATGACTGCGAGCGGAATCCGTTTCGAGAGATTTTACCAGAGAGTAGGTAAACGTTACTCTTCATGGATCATTGTTAACAGTGGCAGTGGCTGTACAAGACGAGAACATAATGAATCTTCTTCTCGCATATAGCGCTGCACACCGAGCACGCATGCTCAATCACCCCGAGCCCTCAAATCGCATCGCCGTCTGGGTGCAAGACGTATTCCCCAAGCTACGTGAAGCGCTCAACGATGATCCCAACACTGTATCCGACAGTACCTTAGCAGCAGTAATAATGATGGCGAGTCTGGAGGTTATATCTTCTGGAACATTCGAGGTACCCGTATCCTGGCAAAGCCATCTAACCATGGCACGCCAGATGATCATCCAGCGTGGCGGACCAAAAGGCATGGGGCGGCATGATCGTGTGGCCTATTTCCTTTCGCGCTGGTTCGCATACCTCGACGTTCTCGGCTCACTGAGTGGGAACAAGAACGATACACCTCTTGGCTCCTTCTACTGGTCTAGCGAAAACGCTTCCGCGGACGAAGATTTTGAGATTGACTGTCTAATGGGCTTTACAACAAGATGTGTAGGATCTTTGGCTCGCGTTTCTGAACTAGCGAAGCGCTGTGAACCGCAGCGCATCGACGAAGAAGGCAATGTAAGAGAGGGGTGGACTCCTAGCCCTGAGATTGTAGAGGAAGCCGTTGAGCTTCGTCATGCACTGGAGGAAGGCTTACTGGGCCGCAACATCAGGAAAGGATGCAACCACCGCTCGAGTACTTCCTCTGAGTCTGAAGGTGCATGGGATGCAACCGAGATCTACGCGACCAACGAATTATTCCACTGGGCGGGTCTAATCCACTTGTATCGTCGCGTTCTCGGAAAACCCGCCATGGACCACGAAGTTCAGCAAGCCGTGCGAGAGATTGTGGGCCTACTGTACAAGATCCGGAGAGGAAGCACAGCAGAGGCATGTTTGATCTTTCCCATGTTTGCTGCTGGCTGCGATGCGCAAGATGAAGGACAGAGAGAGAAGATCATCGAGCGGCTGAGGAGTGTGGAGGGCTTCGGACTGAACCATGTAAACTCCTGCCATCAGAAAGTAAAAGCTGAATTGCTTACTCCGTATTAGGTGCCCAAGATCAGTACGCTCATGAAGAGCGTCTGGGATACCGGTAAGCCGTGGGAGTCGCTCGTCTCTGGCGAGTTCTTCGGTTGAGGATGCCTTTGTGAAGAGATATTGCATTGCCAAGGTCCACGAATCGATGCGATGACTATGACGAGTCACCACAGAGTGCTATTGATACTGCAGGCATGTCAATCTTATAAAAGAACCCGACAGCATGGCCATTTGGTGGATTGATGGAAATGACTTCTGGGCAATGAGGCTTGCACTGCCCATGTAGAGTCAGCGCAAAGATGGCGTCCGTCGACTGCACGCCCTCGACGCCGAGTATGAGAGATGCGATAGACGGGCCAATCTAAGGATCTGAAAGACGAGAGTTTGATGGGTGTGAGGCTCGAAAGAAACTTGGCGAGAATATCAGACTGATACGATATTACGAAGGAAGATAGCGTAGCAAATGGGCATGAGCAGAGAGGCTGATCGGCCGGCGACAACCAATCGAGTGTAGGAATACAGTATTTTCGAGGGGTATCAACCATCCATCTGATATACATATCATCATATTATACAAATGCCCTCCATAAACCCTCAAACCCTCTGACCCACCACACCAGCATCCACGCACCAAAATTCCCACCCTCACCAAGGCCACCAACCCCCTCTAGCAACTCTCCCCACAGCCCTCGTCCCCTTCCCCACCTCATCAGCCCCCTCCCTAACCTCCTCCACCACCGCATCAACCGCCTGCCCAAACTCCTCCCTCTCCCTCTCCATCGCCTCAGTAGCCTGCCCCCACTTCTGCTGCGCCATCCACCGCTGTTTCTCAATCGCCTGCCGCAGCTCCTCCTGCAAATCGCGTATCTCGGCTTTTGTGTCGTGTGTCTCTTCGATGGTTTCGAGTTTGTACCACAGGTAGTAGGTGAGTTGGTATGTGAAGAGGGCGCCGAGGAAGCATTTTAGGAGGGGCGAGCCGAAGGTGCCGTAGTATGCGCCCTGTGGGGGGTTTGTTAGTATAGAGGATAGAGGGAGGGTGGTTGTTGGGGTATGACGTACTACCCGCGATGGCTCTTTTGGCGGCGGTGCTGAGTTTGGGTTTGGCGGCGAGCTGGGGGGATGCGGTGCTGGTGCTTCGGCTGCGTATGTTCTTCGGGACGTATGGCCTATGCGATTGGGTATCGCGCTTCTACTCCATATCGACCGTGTTGCTCTCATGTGATTCATGGTGTCGTAAAGCTGCCAACTTTTGTCCCCGCTTCTGAGCTCGTTCGGTCGCCGCTGCAAGGTAGCCAGGTACTGCGCGAGGGGAGGTGTCGAAGAACGTAAAGTATGACGTTAATTTGTTTGCGAAAATGCGACACAGACTATTGCGCCGACGGTGGTAGAGCTCTCCACGTGCAGAGAAGCGCAGATGCGACAAAAGTGCCTCCCGACAGAAAACGGTATAAACCTCCGTCCACTATCTCCGCGTATTCAGCTAATGCCGGTACCCTAGCGCCGCCGCACAGACCCACGCGATGCACTTTCCAAAGGGAACACGTTCACCATACAACTTGAACCCTCATTTCCGCTTCTCTTCTCCCCTCTTACCAGACACTAGACGCTCGCTTCCTTTTTCCCGAAACCCTTCCTGGACCGCGCGATTTACAGCCATCTACCTCGTTCCACGTACACAAACACACATCATAATGGTACGACACCACCCCCTTCGCGGCGCAATGGAGCGGCTCTCCCTCCTTTTGTCGCATTCATACCACAGATGGAATAGGTAGCTAACCATGGCCACCAATCCTACAGGCGCAAACACCACAACAACGCCAGGCAAACATGCGTTTCGCCAAGGCGCAGGAGAAGAAGATGGGCAAGCCCGAGTCAACGGAGCCCGTGGTCAAGAAGAGGGCGCCTCAGAAGAGCCCCATTAGCAGGTTCTGGATCAGTACGTTCTTCTCGCCCCGTGGTGTACATTGTTAGATCTTGTGAGGACGTGTACTGACTAGTATTCTCACAGTTGTTCTTGCTTTCATACTAGTCGGCGGTCTGCTCTTCGAGGTCCTTAAGCTGTTCTTTTAGAAAGCTGGGGTTATGCGACGCGATGCGATCGGTTACCGGACGAATACGACTTGAACTTGATTTCGATTTCGACTTCGATCTTCCATACGTGGGGAAACAGCACAAAGCACACATATATGCTGGGGGAGCGGATAACAGGGAGAAGTTGGGGACAGCTTGGAGGAGCAACTTGGCTTTGAGGCCACTTTCTTGCGTCAACTATATAGGGCATACGGCGTTATAGAGGCATCATTGCGGCATCAAGGGGACTTGATATAGCCGATTTTGTGGTAGCAAAATACCATTGAGCATTTGAGATCACATTTGTCCAAGACCAAGACACCCATCTGCAGCGTGGCTAGGCTACTACTCCTCAGGCGCATCTGCACCCTCATCCATGACCACAGTCCGCCTCTTCTTTTTCTTCTTCTTGACTTTGCCTTCTTCCTCGCCTTCAGCTGCGCCTTCAGCTGCGTTCTCGTCTTGGCCCTCAGGTTTGACCTTCTTCTTTTTCTTCTTCTTGATAGGCGCTGCTTTTTCCTCTTCACCAACTTCCGCTTCCAGTGGAGGCGTTTCGGCTGGCTCATCTCCTTCCACAGCAACCTTTCTGACCTTTCTCTTCTTTTTCTTGACGGCGACTTCTTCTTTGACGTGTAGTCTCTCGCTCGCTCGCTGCATCTCAAGCCGTAGTCGCTCGACTTCCTGGAGCGCCTTCTTCATCTCCGCGTCCTCCTGAGCTTTCCTTTCAACTTCGAGTTGAGTGAGCTTGCGATTTGATGTACCTTCGTCATCCAAGCTCAATGACCCAAGACCGGAGCTGTCCACCTGCAACAGTGATTTCTTCGTCTTCCCTGGACGTGGTTGCACGATGTCATCTCTCGAAACGTCTGGTGCAGCAGGTCCAAGTGTCTCATCGCCCATGATGTCGACTTTGCGCACGGGCTTGCGCGGACTCCGCGATCGCGGTAGATGTTCAGACGATGACCCTTTGCTGTCGAGGTTGAGCTCCATAATTGGAATCGAATCGATATCGAGCTCGTTGTTCTCCCTGTTGCCATCTCGCACTATTCTACTCAGTGGTGTGACTGCGCCGCTGCCCTTATCCGCTTCGGGGTCGATATAGAATGGATCATCTTTGTAGCGTTCCTTTCTTTCTGCTTTCCGACGCGCAATAATATCAGCGTCCAGATATTCGTCCTCTGCTGCGTTTTGGTATGATGTAGGTTCTTTGTGCGGCGCATCCAGGCGTTCAGCAGCCGGTGCAGCAACAGCAGGAGGCTCTGAGTACGCGGCTGCAGGCTCCGAATAAGCCGCATGTACATCATCTTCCTCTGTCTCAAAGCCTTCTGCATCAGCTGTGTAGAGCAAATGCTGTAGGTTGGGGTTGATTGGTGTATCCAGATCCAGATCTTCAGGTAAAGGAACCTTGCGTTGAGCACCAGGAGCGACCGGGTTAAGCTCAGCGCCAGAAAAGAGGGCAGGTATAGCTTGGGTAAGTAGTAGAGGTGGATCGGTGAATGCGTCCTGGTCCGCGCTAGCAGCTGTGCCTGATGCAGCTTCTGCAGCGAGACGCATGAGTTCAAGGTACTCAACTGCCCGTTCCTGGACTTCCAGACTAGGATGTGTGGAGAGCGGCTCCAAAAAGTGGATGATACGAGCCATGAGAAGGGACATTAGCGTTTTGCGCTCCGGAGTCCATGAGACTTGATCGTTTCCAGCCATGCTAGAGAAGACCTTCGGTATCGCTTGGAGATACACGGCGAGCGTTCTTGAAGATAATTGGAGAGAAGATGGGTGTAATAGGGAGGTCATGACTGGCTCTGGGCGAGTGAGGTAGTTGGCGTACTCTCCAACCAGCCAGCCAGCGTATTCCAGTACACCTTGGCCGCCGTTTCCGGATGCTGGGAACATTTGGTCTCTCCGATCAACGAGCACGAGCGATTGTGCGGCATCTATAGCTTCCGATCGAACGCTCTTCACCCGAATGGCAACGTTCTGTAGTTCGTGTCCGATGCCACCACCAATGTCGTCTGAATGTTCTATTTCTTCCTCTTCCTCCATAACCGAGGTTGCTTTTGTTGCCGGTGATACCCTGACTAGCTGAGTAAGTACATCAATGTACCATTCGAAGTCGGCAATGTTGCTGTAAGTATCGCGTGAGCACATTTCCAGGATCCTCCTAATGACGCTTATCCTGTAGTCGTCTGGTAGTGGCGGCGGCTGGTCGGATTTCTGTTCGTGCTGAGGCAGATTCTCTTCTGCGTCGGAGTCGTCGTCACCATAAGGTGATATGCCAGTCAGCCTACCACGGTCATTGTTGGGATCGCTCGCCGCTGAGGCAATTGGTGCATTTCGTAGCTGTCGCATCAGCCGTCCAACAATCGCTGTGAGGTTGTCTGCATTAACCATGCCAACCACCAGATCCAAAGCACGCATTCGTATTGAGATATCGGGGTCGTCTATGCATTCGAGGATGACGTCTTGCTGCTGGGAAACCAAGTATGGATGTGAGGTGACGATCTTCTCGAACGCGAGTAGTGCGACATATTTTACTGCAGATTGATGAGAAGCCAAACGTTGAATAACAGTGTATATTAGCTTACAGTTTGCATCTCCCTCTATGATCATCATGCCGCGTAGTTTGCCAACACATAGCTTCGCTACCTCCTCACCTTCCGCAGTGCCTTCTACGGCTTCTAGGATACCACCCTGGATGATACCACTGATACATTCGTAAAGTAACGACATAGCAGACGTCTCCCGTATAATCTTGGTCAACGGAGGTAGCAGTTTCTTGATGAGTCGGGGTTCTAATGGGGTTAATGTTGCAAACTAAGGCTGGTCAGTTCAAGTTCTGGTTTAATGTCCTCTGAGCTCAGTGCTTACAAGTTTGATGAGCTTGATGGCCATCCAATTGTTGCCTCCTTCTACTAAGAGATCAAATAGTCTCGGTGCAAGCGGTAGGAAGTCCTGTGGTCTCCTCCATCCCAGCTCGCACACGACGTTGACGATTGCCGCTGTGACGCTCGCATCCTCATTGTCATCCAACAAGCGCTCCTTGATCTTAGGCCATGCGGGTCGCAGTGTCTCTGGATACACAAGAGCCAGCCGGTATAGTGTTACGACGGTCTTCTTCCGGACCATTGCGTGCGAATGCGTCAGCCGCGGTATTAGGTCAGAGAGGACCGAGTTGGCCATGCTCGGGTTTATGACGTGTGGTATCGCGCCTAGCGGGAGGGCGATGTACTGGGGACTCGAGCTCATAATGTCCTTCTTGAGCTGGTTTTCGGCGAGCACGAGGACTTCGGTATCCCGTCGAAAGCTCTGTACTGCGGCGAGGTAACCCGTGCGCTTCTGCTTGAACTTGGAGCTTGACATGACCTCGAGGACGTTGAAGCTGGCCCAAGACATGTCGTGGCCGAACATCTCGAGGTACGTGAGCTTCATGAGGGCCGTGGCCTTGAGGTCCATGTCGTTGGTCCGTATTTCCTTGCGACATTCTTTTATGCTCTCGGCGATGTACTCGCGCTCGCTGCCTTTGTGGTTTCGGAGGCCCCGAATGAGGTCGAAGAGAGATTTCTCGAACCTAGGGAACTGTTAGTCACGACACTTGTATGGAGATTTGGCGGGCACTACATTTTGGCGTGGCTCAGGCAGCGTCACGCAGTCGTGTGTCGAGGTGTGCAAGCGCGCGAGGAGGGGTAGGTGTGCAGCGTGAGGGTGAAGGTGGTGGGCGACTGGGCATCATCATTGGGAGGCGGTCGTCATGGCGGGCGTGTTTGGCGACATGAAAGCGGGCTCTAGTCGGTCGTCTGCAGGGAAAGCGAGTGCTTGTCGGGTCGAGGCTGTTGACGTGCACCTGGAGTCCAGAGGCTCCACTACCGAACGCCCGCTAGTTTCGCCGGCGGAAGCTTGGGACAGGCATCCCCATCAGCTTACCTAACTCGACATGCTTCTCCAGACACTCTGTCGCCATTGACACGCACCCGACACCCCAAGTCGACGCCCGCAGCCGCCAGCATGACACAAGCCAACCTCCTCTCTCCACCCGCGCAAATACCACCGCCCACCGCCCTCGCCCTGTCCCAAAAAGCCCCCCTCGTCCTCTCCACAACACCGACGTCGACGCTCCCGTGGCCCCTCTCGCTGCTCTTCTCCCGCGAGACACCCGAAACATGGACCATCCACGAGAACCTCTTCCTGTCCACACTCCGCACCGGCGACGAGAATGCCGCCCTGTCAATTCTGCAGCGCCTCGAGGCCCGATTCGGCGACCACAACGAGCGCATCATCACATTACGCGGCATCTACAACGAAGCAACGGCCCGGTCAGATGCCGAGCTGGAGAAAGTGTTCGAGGCGTATGAGAAGATACTCCGCGACGACCCCACCAACATGAGCATCCGGAAGCGGAGGGTTGCCGTGCTCAAGGCGCTGGGCAGGACCGCCGATGCCATCACCGCCGTGGCCGTGCTCCTGAAGAACAGCCCCACCGACTCCGAGGCATGGGCGGAGGCGAGCGAGCTGTATGCGAGCCAGGCAGCGTGGGGACAGGCGATATACTGCGCAGAGGAGGTTCTCCTCATCACGCCGAATGCATGGAGTGTGAGTACCACAGTGCCCCGACGATGCCATACGTGTACTAACCCGCGCCCAGGCTCACGCACACATTGCGACCCTACACTACCTCTCCACAGCCTCCAACAACCCACCCAACCTCAGCTCCCTCGCCCTCTCACTAAAGCACTTCTGCCGCTCCGTCGAGCTCAACGACGCCTACCTCCGCGGCTACTACGGCCTCAAGCTCCTCACTACAAAGCTCAATGCCATACTCTCCGACTCCGACTCAGCAGCCAAGCGCAACACGCAAGAAGACGATGACGTCCCTGTCCCCAACGCCCAAACCGTCAAGAAGCTCGAGGAAATCGCTACAAACAAGCTCGCAGAAATCATACGGCAATACAAGTCAGGAAAGAAGGCCTGGCAAGGCTACGACGAGGCCGAGATTATTGCTGCGCGGG